TTTGTAGTAGGACGGATACAAAGGCACATTCCGATCCAGAGCTCCATTACGAAGCTTTTCGTATTGGTCTTTCGATAAATTAAGATCCAATATTAACGCAAGAGCTTCCGTCTCCGAATAGGGTACAAAGCCATTTTTGGATGATTGCATAGCCGAACCCATTTTCACGACTCTTGTCGGAGTTGTTTGCGTTGCCTGTTTTACAATGAACGCTGTATCTTCTTTACCATCCTCACGTAATTTCATTTGGGTTGCAAATGCAAGTTCATCTGTTGGGTAGTTAGACCGCATTGCAGACGTCTTGCGTCTCTTAACAACCTCCAAAGATTTTCTTCCACGACGGGAAGATCCAGAAGTACAAGGGAAACGATCAACAGCTTTCTGTAGTAGTTTGAAGGGGCTATCGAAATAACCACGACTGCTTTCAAGCATAGTCCGGTTGTGGGTTTCCCACAGTTTTTTTTTTTTTATATTTGCATGTCGCCTTCACAAAATGGTTGATTTCAGCTGCCACTTGGGTCCAGAGAAGTTTTTGACTGTTACGGCATTGATTATGTTTCAATGCCGTAACAGTCAAAAAGTTCTCTCGACACAACGTCTGATTTATCAATGTCGTTTCCCTTAAATTCTTTCCACAGTTTAAAAAGCTTTCGCCTGTCGATTTCAACTGAAATTTTATTTGATAACTTATAATTTAAACTATTTTTGAAATTGTCACAAACAAATAACTTTCATAGATAACTCATTTATATCATGAATTGGAAATTAACACTGAATACCTTATTAACTAGGGGAATTTACGTATTCTCGGCAATCTAAGCAGCTTATGGACTTCTATTAGCATTTCCTCAGTGTCACGCACACATATGACGTGTTTGTTTGTTTACATTTATCTGCTGCTAGATACTCTATTCATTTCAATCGACATAACTGTCCAAAACGGTTTGAAAGCGTTTTTAAGGCGCTCCAAACTTCTCAGGTTAGTGTGACTATTGTCGGCAGCCTCTTTTACTTCGGCAACCTTTCCGTTTAAACTGTGTGTTAACCAGTTGTTCTATTATCGGCAACTCGAAATCAGCCGCATTTTCATGTGCTTATGTTTCATTTGAAGAAACACCTGACATAACAGGTTTTATCAGTCGTGAAAATGTATTAGGATTGAACCTGAAAGACTAAGAAATCGTTTAAATACATTCAGCGAAGTGTTTTAGCGAATTTTTTTTTACAGCGAAATTAACGTTTAAATTGTGGTTGCCGAAAATAGTCGATGGCTGCCGAAGCCATCATTTACCCTACATGGTTGTACTTACTTTCATTGTTGAAAGACATGCTTTTCTCACTTTTGGGATCTGCTACGGAAATGTTGAAAAAATAACCTTCACATTTTCTAAGGAATATGCGTTTAATGCTGCAAAACCGATCAATGCGTGATCAAACTTTGTTATATTATCACTGAGCCTACTTTGATTCAGTATTTGACAAATGCGCGCTGACACTGAACTACGGAACGACTTTTTAAAAATACAAAACAATCAACGAGGATACTAAAAGGGACAAATGTTTCAATGGAATTTGAGATCACTTTTGAACAAGCTTTCATCCTATTCAAGATTCACCTGCCGGATTTTGCCGGATTTTTGTCTGTGAGGGCACAAAATATGTAAAAAAAATTACTAAAGTAGTGAATAACTCAGTCTGTGTAATCTATACCTTTTGGACGTCTTTAACAAAGTTTTGTATTGTGATAAAATACATATATTTGTTGAACATTATAGTCTTCTAAAACCTATAGTTTTTTTAAATATGTTATAAAAAGTGAAAAAAATTAAATTTTGTTGAACAGTCATATTAAACGCTACGTATCTCAAAAACTAAGGAATATAGATGATTTGGGTGGTGAGCAAAGATTTTTGTAGTAAAATTATCTACAACTTTGCTCAAGACACCACATACCTATCTTGTAAATGTAAAAAGTTAGATTTTGCAGCGCCGCCTGTGGTGGAGTTCCGAACTAAAACCTATCACTAGTCTTTGCGCCTTATTTTATGCAAAAACTCTTTTAAAGACACCATAGTGAAAAAACCGACATTGAAGGCGCAAATAAAAAAGTTCGTGATATTGAGCATTCAAACCACTGTGCACTGGCGTCGCTAACGATAAGTTTTAATTATTATTCATTTACAGATCGTTTAGTGTGCATGTTTGGTTGGAACCTTATCTCAAATGGGATAGGATCTAAATATTGAGTTCTAAAAATATAGTCTTCATTCTAGGATATTGAGTGTCACCTAATTTCAAATATTTGAAAACTGAATTGCAACATTGTTCATTTGGGAATTAAGTTTATGTGTTATTAATCTAGTGAATATTATTGAACGGAGCAACAACAATCATCGTGTAGTCCTACGTCAATAATGCGGTTCTGCGCTGTACACAAACCCTATCGTTTTAATGCCTTCGATAATGTCAATAACATAATATGACACACATCTATTAAAATTAGCAGAATCATAATATTGTAGTGTGATATTTATGTGTCAAGCTGTGTGGTTTTCTACAAAAATAACATTTTAACAAAAGAGATAAATAAACTTTGAAATTGAAGGAAGTTAGCTCAGAAACGAGCCAATTTTAAGTAAAATTGAGCTAAAAACCATGATTTTAAATTAGCTGTCCTGGAATGAAAAATATTTTCCCCTCTGATATTTTTACATGAAAATATTCATCAAAGAACGTACATTTTTATAACGTCATTAGTTTAAAAAACTGGTTGCCCCAATTTGCAAATTATCCACCAGAAAATCGTATGTTTTGAACACATAAACGCTCTTAACATGTTGCATTTGTGAGGTAGCGTGTTGAAGTATTCTAAAAAGTTGCTTGTTTTGATAAATGAAAAAACTCCTTATATCATAGTATGCCATGCAAAAATCAAATAAAAAAGTTATGGTTGAAAAAACGATTTGAAGGGACCTTCCTTAAAAATACTTCATACCTCAATGAAAACGACGATTTAAACCATTGATGTTTTCATCAAAGTTTGTGGAAATGATAAGATCTACAACTTTGTGCATCTGAACTTGTCTGAAGACACCAACTTGATTAAACTGCATCTTTATGCACTTTTTTAGTTTTTACCTGAAAACACCCTCCTAGACCACTGTGCATTGTGCATTTTAGATAAAGCCATTTTAGGAAACTTTGTCCAAGACGCCAATTTTCTATCTCTCAGGTGGACAAAATCATAGGGTGAAAATGGAGTACAAACGTTTCCCATACGTTTTCCCATACAAATTTTAAAATTCTCCCACATATCGAGATTATAACCGAATTCGTACAATCTTTGCCCAGTTGGGGACCAGAATAAGCGTTGAAAGAGCAGTGGGTAAACCACTCTAATTTTTAATTCTTCGAAAAATGGTCATGAAAACAGCAAAATGTAACAAAACATTGAGGTACTTTAAAAAAAAAATAATTCTATATCCCCTTGGATCCCCCTATGAATTGCATATGGAATAGTAGAGTATAAGATGCTGAACAAAATAACTTAGCTGCTAATACTTGCTAACCTGCAAGATACACCCCCTTACAGATATCGTTAAAAAATATAAAAAGGGACTTAAATCCTTAAAACAAAGAGATAGCAATTTGTTTTTTGTACCGAAAATGTGCAGTGTAAGAGCATTTACAACATTGTACAACATTAAAAAAAACTGTAATATTCAAACTAAAAAGTCATGGTAAAAGACGGTTTTTAAGGGGGTACTTCAGTTTGAACTCCATTTTCACTCTATAACTTCGTCCACTTGAGGGATGGAAAATTTACGTCTTCGACAAAGTTTCTTAAAATGACTTCATCTACAATGTTTTCATAGATGATCATCAATTTTCACAAGACTTTTTCTTAGTGTATACTCCCCTTAAGCAAAAAACATTCACCACAACAATAAAGTATTTAGAAATTTAAGAAACATTCCAACATCAAAATGCTACACTCAATAGTTTCGTCGCAAATGGCCATGTCTCTCTTTTTTTGATTTCGTCCCACTGTGCGCTGGCCCGGATTCTAGGTGAACTAGACTTTAAATATCGAGTCACAGCTGTTGGCTCTAGACAGCTCCCACTTTACTCGATTCTTTTGAGGACTAAAAATGCGGCCTTTCATTTTCATTTCACGCCGGTTGTCCATTTTGAAAAGCAAAGGCTTCATGGGATTTGAAACCACGGCTTCCAGCGTAATCTTACCCCGATCATTGCTAATTTATGATAATCGTTTACTGCTAGTATAAGTCATATGAGTGAATCAATTTCTGTTCAGTTGGACTAGTTGAAGAAATTTTTAAATCAATATTATCTTTAATAATGTCTGAATGGATCACACCCCGAAACTCTGGCCGCATTTTGGCAAATCACAGTTGTTGGCTTCCAGTGAGCGATTATCAGAACACAACCACCAATTGGTAAACTCATGTTATCTTCAAATTTTTAGTAAACCTTCACTCTAGGCTTTGTAGAACGCATTTTACTAACTCCTGGGTTTCACTTTAGGGATTGAGACGTAATTATTCCGGGACAGTTTAACGCGGGCAACCGCAACACGATATTATTTCGGGTTGTATACTATAGCTTCCTTAATTAGAATCGAATTAATTAAACTGGTGGACAGACGCTTCTTCCTCGTTCTAAATATAACGTACACTTCAACTCTATAAATATTCTTCGGTCAGAATATTTGGGTTAACAGATAATGAGGAAAAATGTACTTCTTTTCAAAACAGATGTTTTTAGGGACATTTGACCCTTTTCTAACTGGACGCGACATTCGATATTTTACAAGGAAAGACTCCCAGGAACGTTCTTGTCTTGTCAAATAAAAATTTGCGATCATCACTAACAATTCCACCACAATTGACACCTAATCACGCAGTATCTTAACCAGATTTAAATTCATTACCACACCTTTCCGTTGGGTGATTTCCGTCGTAACATATTCCACTCACCATCCGCGCGGCAGAATCTAACCGTCGAAAGCACGACCAACATCAGCGAGACGTAGGCGAGCGTTTTGAACTGTGTCACTTGCTGCATTCTGCTGTTTCTGTTCTAATCCTTTGCAAGCCTTGAACTCTTCTCAACCAATCTGCCGTTTGCACACTACTACCGTTCACCGTTCAAATTATTCCCTTAAAATGGCCCTTTGGAAGTGGCCAATCGACTTGCCGGACTGCGAATAGTGGTTTCCCTCAAGATCCCGGCCGCTTTTATACAAAACCGGAATCGCATCTGTGATCCTTGGCGGAGATAGGTGCTGAAGTTGCTTCTGCTCTGCCGTGACGAGCGCATGTCTGTTGCTTTCACTGTAGCACCTTCGGTGGTGGTCAGCAGCTCCCACGTTTCCTTGTGTTGCCTCGGTGGGTGGTTTGCGGGGGGGGGTGGTTTGCGTTTCGTGTTTAGGAAGGGCAGTAGGCAAAACGATGGAAAAAAGAAAACTCCTCTGAAATCTCGGTAACAGCAACGAGCCAACAGGTGATGAGGCGATTCGGTGACGTTGATGATGCTAATAATGATACTTGCTGTTTTCGAAATGGGTCCTTTTGTAGGTAAATTGTGTAAATGGGGGATCAGTGGGATAGGTGTGGTGGGAAACTAGGAACAATACGAAATCCTGCGATTAAATAATGGTTTCTCGAGGGAATTGAGAGTTGATTCTATATAGGAAGTTGATTGATCCAAAATGAAAAGAAAAATAATCAATTGATAATATTTATAAACAACAATTGCTGATTTTAAATGGCTTTGAGTCAAAAATAGTGGAGCAGTTCCATGACAACTTTTTTTAAACTCTTTATTAATTCTAAATTTAAAATAAATTACATTTAATTTTAATCTAGGTGCTGCAGCTACTACAGTAACTTACCAGCCTTAATTCGTATGATATATACTTATGTATGATTTGTCATCAAAATCTTTTTAAAAAAGGTTTCACTATGTCCTAAAGGACATAATGTACATCAAATGTTTCATCACTTTTTCAATCTAAGAAAAGATTTCATCACTTTTTCATTCTAGCAAAAAGGTTTCACAAACATACTAACGTTATCTCACTATGTCTTGCCACTGGCTCTAACTAAACTCAACTGACTACTCCTAATTGAATAATATTTCCTTCAACCTGTCGATGGCTTGCGATCTGCTGCGTCAGGAGTCCAAGTCCAATCCAGGTTGTCATCGTCAGCGATGTTCCGTCCGGCGTGTGTCGTGTTGAGTCAGAAGAACCGCATCCGTTCTGCTGTTGCTCAACGAGTGTCGGGTTGCAGCTGGTTGTCGTTGGAATTCGGTAGATAATGCTGGGGTTGCATCTATGCCATGATCGGCTGATCATAGGTAGAGCATCGGTATGTCCATATCTATATATCTTAGTATTTATACATTGTTCCTGTCTTGTCAATTCAGTATTTTAAACAGGTTTCCCAAATCTGCATGTTAGTATAAAAATTGACATCTTAAAACTGAAAACTAAAACTAAAACTTATCTAAGTATAAAGGAAATTGAGGATTGCAACGATTTTTGCCTGAAATTATTAATTATTTTGCAGGACTTTGTTCTAAAGTCTCAACATTCGAAATTCTATGAAACTCGGTAGCACAAACTTCAACATTTTCTTCAGAACTTTGTTCTGAATTCTTTGGATCGAAGTGTGCTGTGCTCGTGAACGGACGCGATTTTTGTGTCCTCCCGTCATTTTTTCAATTTTGTTCAATGTTAAATTTTTCTACATGTTGACTCGAGTGATTTTCAACTACGGACTTGCAGTGGCAACGGGTCGGATGCGCGGTTTACCGAGTGTTGAAATAATGAAATTCCGAAAACGCGTTCCACTGGTCAGCCGGCAGCAAGAAAGAAGCACTAGCAGCAGATGCACCACCGGATGAAAAACTGCAGCAGGAATCAGAGGACAAACGCTGGAGGAGCACGAGGATACTTCCAGCTTCCCGTCGGCGCAATGGAGCTCCCTTGAACGGCGAATAGATCCGGATCAAGCAGGAAGAAGAGAAGTCTTTTACCCACGGCCACGGAAACGATGCAAATAGTGTTTGTAGTGTGTTGATGTATCTGTGTGCAATGTGAACATCATCAACACATCTCAAGCTGCCTTTAGCAGTGGCGTCGCCCTAACCTCAATCTACCTGTTCAACAACTCTCAAAACGTAAAGAAACAAAACAATATTGGTTCCAATGGATATAAATCAATGAAACTAGAATATCTGATTCGTTTATTTTTAAGGTTCAATCGCGTTAGCTTTACGGAGCCGAACAATAAACTAGAATATCCTATGCCTTTTGAAACTGATTTGAATGTGAATATGACCCTAAATAACGTTTTCAAAGTTGTTGAACAGGTAAAAAGTGAGGTTACGCGACGCCACTGGCCTTTAGGTTCAATTGGATAAACTTGGTGAGTTCGTTCCTTTTTGTTCATTTTATATTTTACATCCAGTAACGCTGGTAGATCACCTTTTCGTGTTGTGTTACTGGAACAAGAATTTCACCGAACTCTAGTCCTGAACAGGAGGGGAACAGGAGTTTTCAGTGAGCAGGGGAACACACTTTAGACCTTGTTATTTTTAATGCCTTGTTAATAGTGACAAGACTCGAGTGTGTAGTTGTTGGTGCTGCCATGGTGATTGTATTCGGTGAGCTTGTTCCAGTTAAAAACAACCCGTTTGTTTCCTGCCGGGATAACCACAATCGCGCGTTGAGTCTTATGGGGGGTAAAGACATTAGGATTTATCCCAGGCTACTATTGTAGAAAATCGTAATTGATAGATATTGGGCGGAACGCGTCGGAATGTTTAGAAAAATAGGGCGCACGCTTGATCCGGTTTGGCTGCTTTCGGGAACTTGATTTCATTTTAATAGCTTGCTTAACCAGAGCTTAAACAATCGTCACGTCGGTCAAAGCTTGTTATGATAGCCAGAACAATGCGTAAAGATCAAACCGAAACGTTGAACGTCGCGTGAAAGTGGAACTTAATGAAGACCTATGTGCTTTTTCGTAACTTTTAGTTTTCGGATTAGAAAGATCATCGGTTGCAGGACAGTGTTGCCGATTTATATTGGATAATCCAAAGCTATGTTGATCATTATAACATTATCAGCGGCGCCGGTGGTGTAGTGGTAAGCGTGATTGCCTCTCACCCCAGCAGGCCTGGGTTCAATCTCAGTCGGCGCCGCCGGGATGTTCTGAGGCATTACATCTCTGATCACGCCGGAAGGAAAGTAAAGCCGTTGGTCCCCGGTTCATGAGTTGATGGGTCAATAGGTAGGGTCCAGTTGTGGGAGCTACCTCTCTGGCGTCAGTGCAAATCAAGGAAAAAAATATTACATTAATTTTTGAATTAAAATGATAAGACAATCTTATTCAAACGTCGTAATAATACCTGTGACCAATGGCAAAATTTTTAGACTAGATGCTCCCAACGACAAATGATTTATAAATAACAATACAACTGTCAACGTCGCATGCTGTACAGACATGCGATTGTTGACTACGACCACCTCCGTCTTGTGATGGGCGAGCTCCAGTCTCCTGGATCTCATCCATTCCTCCACAAGCTTAACGGAGTGAGTCGCCGTCAGCTCTACCTCTTCGAGGGATTCACCATAGACTACCAGCGTGACATCGTCGGCAAAACCAACGTTTTTCGCGCCTACTGGAAATCTTATCCTCAACACTCCGTCGTACATGACGTTCCATAACACCGGGCCCAGGATGGAGCCTTGTGGCACTCCTGCGGTGACTCTAACGCATTTTTCGCCATCATCTGTGTCGTACTTCAACACACGATTCTGGAGGTAGCTTTCCAGAATCTTGTATATTTAGCCCTCCGGCACGCGCTGTTGAACGCATTCTTCACGTCTAGAGTTACCACCGCGCAGTAACGAACACCCCTTCTTTTCCGATAGACCACCTCTGCCGTCTGGAAGACGTCTCGGATGGCTTCCACCGTGGATCTGCCTTTTCGGAACCCGTACTGGCTGCTTGACAGGCCGTCTACACCTTCGGTTTACCAGTGGTGTCCAGCAAACAAATGGGCCTGTATGCTGACGGGTTTTCCTGACTTCGGGAGAAGCACCAGCCTCTGCCGCTTCCACGTATCTGGGAAGATGCCTACGTCCAGACAGGTCTGAAATACAGAGCTGAACATATCTGGAATTTCCACAACGGCCGCCCTCAGAGCCACAACCGGGATCCCATCCGGGCACAGGGCCTTGTCCACCACCAGCGACTTGGCAATGTCGGTCAGTTCACTGTTAGTCACTCTAGACACTGCCACCTGTACCGCGGCTGGGATACCCCGTGGCCATGAGTCAACGTCCCTACGTGGAAACAAGAACTGCACGATTTGCGCTAGCATCGCCGGCGATCTCTCCGGGGGTGCCGCCACGCCACGGGTCTTGGCCATGACCTTTTTGTAGGCATCCCCTAGGGGTTCGTGTTAGCGCTTTGGCATAACCTGTCGAAGCGCGCACGCTTGCATCTGGCGATCTCTTCTTTGAGGGCCGCCTTAGCCGCTCGGAGAGCGACGCGGCGTTCCTCTCGAGATTCGGCCGTACGAGCCCGTTACATCCTCCTTCTCGCGTGGAGGCAAGACGCCCTGAGGGTAGCACTCGACTCACTCCACCAGTACACCGGTCTATGGCCATGCCTGGGATAGGCTCTCCTAGGCATGGTTGTATCGCAAGCCCTTGTCAGCGATGCTATCAGTTCTTCCCCCTTCAGATCAAGGGTTATTCGCTCCCGCTTCAGTGCTTCGCTGAAGACCTCTTTATCGAAGAACGACGTCCGCCAGCCTCGAGCGCAGGAGGGGCTCCCTCCCGCCACTCGCCTCTCACCTTTTAGTACGTCACATCAATGACGGATTCTGCACCATTCCTTCTGTAGGTACTGACTGAACCGTTGTTGGTCCAGTTTGGCCATTGCCTCCAGTATGATGCATCCTCTCTGGTTGGTGTCGCCCGCAATGACCACCGGTCGTAGGCCGACAAGTACCGCAGTGAGTCTGTCCAGCATCTGCGAGAACTTCTCGATGGACCACCTGGGCGGAGCATAACAGCTACTTAGATATACTCCATTGACCCTGGCGATCACGAGTCCCTCGCTCGAGTTGGACGAGACCACTTCCTGAACGGGGAAGCTCCCCA